TGAAAACTCAGATCTTAGATGTTGGAGAAATGGTTCAGAGGCTAAGAGCATTTGCTCTTGCAAAAGACCCAAGTTCTGTTCCCAGCATCCATATGGCAGCACACAACAATCTGTAACTCCAGTTCTAGGGCATCTGACATCCTCCTCTGATGTCAATAAACACAGGCATGCATATGGTACACATACCTACATGCAGGCAAGACTCACACACATAAAAAAATAAATAAATCCATCTAAAATGTTTTAAACCCATATCTTCTGATTCTGAAATCATGAGCTTTCAATAACCTTATAAATTGTATTTCTCTGTAAACTGTAAGATGGTGGCTATTGATATACTGAAAGGTTGTGCTAATATGAGTTTTGAATTTCATCACTCCCCATAGATCCTTGTATCCACTAGCAGCCACTGTGTAACATGAGGACCTGCTTGTTGGGGTTTCTGTCCTGCCCAGTCCCCCAGCCATTTAGTCCCAGAGAAAATCACACAGAGGTCTCCATACGTTATAAAGTGATTGACCCATTAGCTCAGGCTTCTTATTAACTCTTATAACTTACATTAACCCACTATTCTTATCTATGTTAGTCACATGGCTCAGTACCTTTTTTGGTGGGGCAGGTCACATCTTCCTTCTTTGGTGTCTGGACAAAACTTGGGGAAGAGCTTTCTTCTTCCCAGAATATTCCTGTTCTCATTGACCTGCCTCTACTTCCTGTCTGGTTGTTCCACCTATACTTCCTGCCTTGCTACTGACCAATCAGCATTTATTTAAAACATGATTGACAAAATACAGAAGTGTCCCACACCCCCACTGCCCCTCCTGTTCTTCCTCAGCTTCTGGCAGCTAGTCTAATCTGTGTTTCTATGGATTCCTCGACCCTCAGTATGTCACATAAATGGGAACAACATGTAGCCTTTGTGTCTCTTTCTTTCTTTTTTTTTTCTTTCTTTCTTTTTTTGGTTTTTCGAGATAGGGTTTCTCTGTGGCTTTGTAGCTTGTCCTGGTCTTGTAGACCAGGCTGACCTTGAACTCAGAGATTCGCCTGTCTCTACCTCCTAACCACCAAGCTCATGTGTGTCTTCTTTAACATGGCATCATGTTTCCAGGGTTCATTGTGTGCTAGTATATCCCTCTCTACAGTAGCATACTATTATATTTCATAGTCTTAATTTTTTTATCTTTTCATAAATTGACAGACATGTGGAATGTTCCACTTGGGAGCTATTAGAAAATATACTTCTATAAAAACTCAAACACAAGCTTTTGTCTGAACATGCGTTCAGTCTTCTTTCGTTTAAACCTAGGAGTGGCACTGACAGGTGAGGGCTCCATGTTGAACTTTCTGAGGATGGACCAAACTTTTCCCTCCAAAACCCTACACCATTTTCCATTTTACACAGCTGTGCGTGCTCACCTTTCTCCATACTCTCTGCCGAACTTGCTTCTTTCCCTCCTTGACGGCATTGAGGTTCAGAAAGGTGGAGAGTGATGCTGACAGTCCTGGCTAGTTTTATGTCAACTTGACCCAAGCTAGAGTCATCTGAGAGGAGGGAACCTCAATTGAGAAAATGCCTCCAAAAGATTAGGCTGTAGGCAAGCCTGTGGGGCGTGTTCTTAATTAGTGATTGATGTGGGAGGGCTCACCTCATTGTGGGTGGGGTCTGTCCTGGGCTGGGTGGTCATAGGCTCTAAATAAAAGGATACTGAACAAGCGATGAGGAGCAAGTCAGTAAGCAGCACTCCCCAATGGCCTGTGTTTCAGCTTTTGGCTCCAGGTCCCTGCAGTGTTTGAAGTCCTGTCCTGATTTCCTTCAGTGATGAACAGTCCTTTCTTCCCCAAGTTGCATTGGGCATGATGTTTCATCACAGCAATTGGAACCCTGACTAGGATACTGACCATCCCTTCACAGGCTTATGACCATGAGTATGTGCTAAGAAATGTCTATTCAAATCACCTCCCCACTTTCTAAAGTGTTTTTTTAATGTATCTTGGAATACATTAATGTATTCCAAGTCCCATATGAGACTGATAACTTGAAATGTTTCTCTCCCATTCTGTGGGTTGTATCCATTGTCCTGAAAGTTTTAAATTTAGATGTCATCCATTTCCTTGATTTGATTTTTTGTGCTTTGGGTTTCATATTCAAGAGATCTTGCCCATTTAAAGGTCAGGAAATGTGATGTAAAAAGATCATTTTTAAACTTCCACTTCTCCCACGAGACACACTATGCAGCTTAAAGTGAGCCAGACCCTCCATTTCATGCTGGAAAACTGGGCTTATTTCTTACTAGAGGGTTGAACATGGTATTATAGAATTCATAAATTATCTCCCAAATTAATAATTTGTCATGTTTATTATAGGACATTAAATACATTCTATCTATTATCTTAATCACTATAATTATTATGAGGTTTAAAATTCGATGTTCTAAATAAACTAAAAAAATAACAAAAGTTTGGAATTCATGCTTAAAAGAAAAACATTCAAAGTCATTTCCATGTGAGTAGCTTAGCTGAGATGGCTTCCCTATTACTGTTCAGCTAACAAACTAAAGAACACTTAAATCTGCAGACAGGAGAGCAAAGTCTTGCAACACTTGGGAAAAAATAAATCATTTTACAAACGTATTATTTATGTTAATGTGCACTAAAGAGTGTTTATCTATTGTTAGACCCTGATACATGAGTTGCTTCATCACAGAACAAGTAATAGGGAATTTCAGGGCTGTGTGCCTCTAAAGCCCACTCTAACTCCATTAGAGTACCACTGGGCAACCTCAAGGGAGATTTCTAAGTGTACAGTCGTGACTGTATACATAATGCAATTCCAAGTGTGCACTCATGATTGTTTACATAATGTAACTCACCTACACCGGGCACTGTTTGATTCAGTCTTCTAAGATTCACTGAATGGATGCCATTTCAAGCAAATCAACCCACAAGCATCCGGGGGAAGAGGATCTCTTTTCTAAAGTGTACCAATTAGTCTAAGAGGTGGCAGTGGGCATTCCTACACTCGGCCTGTGGCCTCAGGCAGTGTGTCCTTACTGTGGCACAGTGGACACGAGTCTTCAGGTGCTAGGAAACTCTCCCATAGCTCTGAGGTTACTCTGGTCGCCATTAGCTCCACAGCACTCCCAGAAGTTGTGGATGAGGGGTGCGTATACCCATACACTTAGACACATACCATCGATGCTTATTATGAGGGATGACTTAGAAGAGAGCAATGTCTCAACAGTAAGACAAAAACAGGATTTCCAGAAGTGATTTAAATGGATGCTAAACATCAAAAAGTTAAAATTAAAACACTAGAGGATAATTTTCACTTACCAGATTGGACAAAGTGAGATGCTGGCAAAGCTGAGGGAGGAGCCATTCATATACCACTGGCAGGAGTGGAAATTAGTGTCATTTTTGGGCAACAGCCAAAGATGTCAAATGTATATTTTCTTTGATTTAGACATTCTGTGTCTAGGGTGTTATTGTGCAACCTTAGAAATGGAGCCAGAGAGAGCTATCTTCAATTATACTTTACTAGCTGAATAAACTGAAACCTAGTAAGGTTCCCTCTTTTAAACACAACACGTACACATTACAAATGCACAGCGATTGCCTCTGAGACACAGACGTGAGGAAAAAGTCACATACAATCACTTCTCTGTGTATTACTGTAATTCCTAGTATTTTTAAAATCATCTCTACCACCCTGTAATTCTTCAAAAGTCAATTTATGGGCATTCTAGTCCAGTACTGAACTGGACACCAGCCAGCAAAGGGCTTCAGTTGAGCATTAACAGAATGCTGAACACATATTGTGTAAAGTACCCCCAGGTTAGCAGGCGCTTCTCCCTAAGGGGAAAGCCGCTTTCAGTACAACCCAAACTCATGCATCCAGGCGCATTTCACAGAGAGAAGTCAAGGAATACTCGTCACGAGATCACTGTTAACACAATGGGGTTCATACTTATAATTAACTAATGATAGATTTTGGACAATGATACAAGTTTACGTGCTTAGCCCAAAATGCATGTGGCAGGAGGGGCCTTTGTTTTGTGGACATGTAAGGTCTTGAGGACCAAGAGTCTCTTTCCACAAGTCCCTGAGCTATGTAGTCACTATTTTCCATCTTACAAGATGTTTCCAGCTAAGCAGATTCCTGAGCATTCAGCTTTCCGGGGGTGGGGTTCACATTTGGGGACCATAAACAATAAGTTACATTTAGAATAGCTTCTTTGTCCCTGACATTGCTATGCCCTTCCACGGACAGAAAGGCATTATTTGAGAATCAGTAAGTCAAGCCTGGATTCTCCCGCTCCATTATGTCACACACTCCCATTTCCTCACCTACAAAGGAGCTCTAATAACACGCTGGCCAGTGTTCCTTTTGGACTGATACAGGCTGCAGCGTGGCCATACGGGACCAAGAGCATTCGCAGCTCTGACAATCTCACACATGGGAAAGCACTCCTATACAATCTGATGTGGTTTTTCTGAAAGTGGGAGACATTAAAAGATGAGCCCAGATTTATTTTATTTTTCTCTTCTCTTCTCTTCCTCCCCTCCCCTTTCCTCCTCCTCCTCCTCCTTCTTCTCTCTCTCTCTCTCTCTCTCTCTCTCTCTCTCTCTCTCTCTCTCTCATTTCTTCCTCCCACGTGCTACGCTACCCAGCTTATTTTTATTTATTTTTTTCTAGTTACAGTTTAGTGGAACTCTACTTGTTTTTAAGGACTTTATAAACATCAATATTATATTAAGCTTTATTTTACAGGACAATCATTATTGGCCATGCCTGTTACAGAGTGAGGTATATGTGATTCTTCTACCCTAGCAGTCATACATGTTTAATTAAAAGAATAATGCTAAAGCCCCCCAAAATTATGAACCAGTGCTGCCTGACTTCCTAGCGATAACATCGCAGTACCAACTGGAGACATTCTTTATGTCATCTGCACTAATCAAATGAATCACTTCTTAAGTTTAGTAAAGACACAAACAGGTATTTTGCAGACAAGAAAACCTTTTTATTTGAAACCACAAACAGTCAGCAGGTGGCCATAACTATCCATATTTCATTAAAATCACATAAAACCTAGGCACAAAAGCACCACTGATTATTGCTCTAGAAAAATTGCATGAAAATTTCAAATATGCACAGTAAAAACACCACAGTATGCACAGGACTAAATTTTTAAAGCAAGGGTATGGAATGCTGAATCCATTTTACACGCAGCTTCCGATAGTAAATTGGTATTTGTTTTACTTGAGGATGGTGGAAATTTCCAAAAAACATCACCATAAGAGGATAAAATGTCCATCTTTATATATTTTATGCCAACTAATAGAGTCCTAAAAAATTAGCATTTACAAAATACTCGGTAAAAATAGCTTTTAAAAGTTGTCCCAAGAGGTACATGAAGTCAACCCCAGTTTTCCACGACAATTCATTCTCCCTCGTTACCTAGAGATTCAGTTCTCCGTGCCTGCGAATAAAAAAGAAAGAAAACAATATATAGTTACCACCAAAATAAGTATAACTAAAGGAAAGTCCACCCACCAAGAAACACACTTTTGAGCATGTGGCCTCCTTTTCCTTCCAGGTCTACTTCAAAACACACTTCGACTCTGGGTGGAAAACACACAAGGCCGGAAGGCATCATGGCAACACTTGCAGCATTTATTCTTTCTGCCATTTAAACAACCACAGCAGCCTTACCTGTGGGCTCCAGTGTGCATAATAAGAAACAGCAAGCTACTACCTGATTCTAGTCACTGCAAACATGCAGAGTGTCTACTGTACCCTTAACTCTGACTGTTTCAATCTGCCCCTTTACTGACAGTGTGCTGGGTGGGGGACTTCTGCAGGCTGAGACATTAACAGTTGAGCGAGAGATGTGGATCTGCAATAACATTACAGGCAATAAAGAGAGACATCATGAATGTGCTATCCAGAGCTGAAGGATCGAGCAATTTCTTTTACGACACCGAGTCGGTCAGCGGGAGGTGGTCGTGGAAAGTACCTCTTCAGCTTTAGTGTCACCATTTGCAGATGGTGCAGTACCTTCCTTTCCAGCTTCCTGCTTTTCTTCCTTCTTCCCTTTAGCACCTCTGCTAATCTTTGTCCCGGGTTCTTTCTAATGGATCGAAGCACAGGGAAACAGAACCCGTTAGGTGCTGGGTGATGGTAGAAGCCCCTGCTGGAACCCAGCCAGACACAGTGACAGCTGCCCGTGGTGGCCTTAGGGGAAAGTGGGGGCCCCCATTTGCTGTGTCACCTGAACTACACTGCACCTCCATAAAACTGTAGTAGGTTGCTTGCTGAGCCCACCAGCACTTGTAGTCTGTGGGACAATGGGAACTCCTGGGACATTTCAGCCACAGGACCTGGTGAAAGGGGAAAACCTGCGGAGGGGGGGAAAACCCACCCACCAGGGGCTGTGGCTTTTCCTGTTGTGCCCCGATGCCACAAGTCATGTGGAGCCACACATCTTACACAACCAGAAAGGCCCTGAAAATAAAGGCCCAGATGAAGAAATGCTGCTAATTGTATGACTGAGTCACAGAGCTGAGCTCCGCTTTGGAAAGCGGTATTCACTACCACAGGCAGTTTCAGAGAGTGTGCGTGCTTTGATAGGCGCGGTACAGGAGAGTCACTGTAGCCAAGGTCACCGGCATCAGCGGTCTTCAGGTGTTCTCAGCTGCCAAACAGGACACTCATATCTATTTCAGTAGCGCAGACCGAGCTGAGGGTCACGACGTAAAGCACCCAGAACGGGTCTCACACAGTCTCAGGTTAGAGCTCACTACTTGCTAGAGTAAATGATCACATTTTTATTGCTAGTCTGGGAATGGCCATCTACTAGTAGTTCGTCCTACGAGGCTGGGAGCCCCTCTCTGACCTCTGGTGCTGGTGGCAGCAGTGGGTTCCAGGACCAGGTCTAACCCCACCATGTGACTGCGAGCAAGGCTGCCCAGAGCCACTTGCGATGTGCTCCCTCCACCTCACTGACCAAAAGGAAAACACATTCTTACTAATGTACAAAACTGATGCTTCGCATCTTTAAAGAGAGCCCGTATGGTGGGGACAACTTTCTGGTCTGCACATTTTAGGCAGAGTCATTAAACAGGATCTCTCCTCAGATGATTTTTCGGCATGGGATTATAATGAATAAATTATTCATTGTTTAGAAAACCACAGGAGGGAAGAGGGGAATGCCTCTTACCTTAGCAGATGTTTTCCTTGGTTTAGGCTCGGGTTTTGGCGGAACAGGTTTCTGCAGAAATAATTTAAATCATACAAATACTGAAACTGACACCATTAGCATCAAAAAGAAGGCAAACGGGCTGAAAAGGCATTGGTTCTGACTGCGGCTCTGGGCATCTCGAACTGGCCCTTTCAGCACCAGGCGCTATCTTCATCCTGGGTTTGCAAACGATGGGCAGATAAGAAGCAGCTAACTCATTAGGCATTGGTTCAGTAGAGCTCTCTGGGGGCAGGGTTAGGTTTCTCTTTCTGATATCCCTGTACTTCCTTTTTTTCACAACACCGCAGTGAGAGGAGAGACTCCAAACCTTGGCTAAATGGCTTGATGAATTCACTCTCAGCAGCCTTCCCAAGAGACCAGAAATTACAGCATATCACAAGCAAAGTTCACTGTCCATTGGTCATCAAAGCTGAGGCCTGTGAAGTCCTTCAAAGCCATAACCACCTCCCTCCCCCGACACAGATTTCAGGTTCTGTAGCCAAGCCTCTTCCTGTTTCATCCTCTCCAATGTCAGCTTAAGGTACACTGCTTAACACCAAGACACTGGGTCCCTTTGTCTCTGGAGCTTTGTATTAAGTATATAACTATGGCGCCCTGTCTGGCTATTAAAAGTTAAGATTTTTTTTTCCTGTGGGGATTTTAGGTCAAATATTTCTCTAATAAAGGTTTAAAATGTGTACATTTCTCTGAGCACTAAAAGAATGTTTTAAAAATAGAAAGCACTGTCCAGGGTGTCCTCTGTGAAGAAGGATGTTTCCCTCTAGGGTCTGTAAAAGATCTAGAGTTCATACTGAATAGTCTTTATGTGTAAAATTTAATTGAAGGCATTTCAGTTCCAAAACACCAGTTGTTAGAACAAAAAAATATTAAAAAGGGGGGAGGCCAGACATACCGACCCACTCTGGACACCGAGGCAGGAGATGGCTGTCAGTTGGAGGGCAGTTTCAGGTACAGAGTAAGACACAGTCTCAAATATCCAAAAAGGAGGGCCAGGAAGATAGCTCAGTGGGTAAAGGAGCTTGCTGCCAAACCTGATAACCCGTGCTCTAACCCTGGGGCACACGGGATGGAGATAACTGACTCCTGAAAGGTATACTCTGACTCCCCAACACACAAGTAAATCAGTGTAATAACACTATTTTCTCAACAAAGGAGAAGAAACAGATGACCCTTAAAAAAAATCAAATTTAAAAAAGGGTGGCGCTTAAAAAGCAAGACATTTTTTTTTTTTAACCAGTGTTCTTATTCCTCTAAACCTTCAGTCTGCTTCCCAAACGTAGATTATGGCTCGGAAGTCTCGTGACTTTAAAATTTGTTACTGTGAATTTTGATAAACTAGTCTAGACATCTTCTTGATTGATTTTTAGCAAACTGTTTCCACTTTTATCATTTTCTGAGATGGACCTGGCTCAGCAGTGCTTCGATAGTCCTAAGAAACTAAGATTTTGTGTGGGTGTATGCATGTGTGCTTGTGTGTGTGTGTGGGGGGGAGTGGGGAGTGTTGTGTCCTGATGAGGCACACAGTCCATGTCAGGTGCGTTCCTCGACCACTCTCCATCTTATATTTAGAGTCAGGGTCTCATGCTGAGCGGCGTTCACCGGTGGGCAAAGCTGACAGGAAAGCTTGCTCCAGGGACCCTCGTGCCTCGGCTTTCCAGTGCTGGGATGTACAGGGATGCACTGCTGCACCTGGCTCCTTAGGCAGGTGCTGGGAATCCACACCCAGTTCCCCAGGCTTGCCTGGCAAACACCTTACCCGGGGAGCCATCTCCCCAGCCCTCAGAGGTTTATAGTATGGGGCACTGCTGGCTTCAGATGAGGCTGTGGTGACCTCACAGGACATGATTTCCATGCAAAGGGCTCTTACGGTGCTGGCTCCTGGTGCTCACGAAAAGGTTTCTAAATCTCGGTTTTCTTTTGACTCCCAAAGGCTATTCTCTTAACTGGCTTGAGCTTTGCAGGCGCTCTTGAGTCTTTCTGGTGACTGACGCTGCTGCTCTATGGGCTCCTAGTCAACATCCATGTCCACAAACATTCCAGCAGCGCCTGTGACAATCAGTGTGGGGGTGGGGCAAAATCCTCTCCCAGAGTCAGGTGGGTTTGTTAGGTGATAAAATGAGGAACAACAGATGAGCAGACTCCCAAGAAGGAGCCCAGGAACCAGAGAGAAGCACCTCCAGGCTGGAGCACAGGCTCACACGTCTGGTCTGGCCAGGAGCACAGGCTCACATATCCAGGCTTGGTAGGCTCAGTACCACTGTACAACCTAGCTCTAGTCATCCTCTCCCTGGACATGGCCAGCTGAAGGAGACTCAGACAAAGAAAAGAGCCACCCTTTCAAAGATGTCCCAGGACTGGAATGTGGCTAACGCCTATGAATTAATTTAGGAACATTCTGATCCAGGCATAAAATGCTCAAAAGTATGGGTTGTGCGCAGAGAATCAACATTCTGGATCCATTTCAATATTAACAGGTGTAGTATTTGGGGACCGGGATTTGCCTAATGTTCTTGCTTGTCTCAGGGATTTAGCAGTTTCAATGAGCATGGGCTTTATATACTTGATAGCGGACTTGGCCACTGTTTTCCACTGACACAGATAATCAAGTAAACTGCTTGGCAGCATAGGCCTGATTTGCTAGAAACTGAGACCCCAAAGGAAAATAAACTCAAGGAAAATGCCAACAAATCATCCTTTTGCTTGGGACAAAGGGAGTACCCATTCCTAAGATGCTACATCGAGGGGCTCAGAGGTACTTACCGCTGATAATCTGGCTGACCGTCTTGTGGGCTACAAAAGAATGGGGAAAAACTTGTTTTTGGCAATTATAAACATCCAGGCTGGTTTTTAAATATTCTTTCTTGATATATTTTACTTTGTTGAAATGGTGAAATGTATGCTACCCATCAGCCTCTCAGATCAGCATAATGGAACAGACCAAGACCCCTGGGTGCTCCAGAGAAAGGGCTGCTGCAAGATACAGGCTCAGCTTCCATCACGCGGTTCCTCCCAGCTAAGAGCACTGGGAGACGGGGGAACAGAGGAATCCTGGCTCCGCTCTACCCACAATCGCTCCCTTTGTGATAAACTGACATCAGAACACGGAGTTACCTTAAGAAATGGTCTCGTTACAACAGAATCAAAATCTTTAAACTGGTAAAAGAGACTTAAGTAATTACACAGAAACCAACACAGGACTTGTCTATCTTTGCAGCACTTGGAAAAACAATGACTGCAGATCTTACACAGGCAAGAAAGATATTTTTTTTCAAACCCAGAACAAGATCAACACAATTATCTACCCAAAACAGGTTTCATTAATCTCTTAATTCCAAAAGTTTAGAAAATTGATTAGCTAGATACTGATTGAATTTAGCTTTTCTGTTTTTCAGAAAAAATCTTTTGAGGATCGCACCAGTTAATAGCCAATGATACCCTAAAGAAAACACAAAATACCACAAGCATCCAGCACACAAAAAATGGACCCTCTTTACTAGCCCAGGAGAACTTATTTCTCCTGGGTAAAAGGATTTAGCTTCCTAAAACTAAAGTTGGTTTTCTCTGCAGGCTTTATCCCATACTTTCTGCTCATTTCACTTAGGTTCCATCTCCAGGAGAAGAGCAGACACCACCTGCCACATCCAGAACATTTGCTGAGCAGATGAACTCAAGCTTCTCCCTGACTCACACTGCTTTACAAGACTCTGACTCACACTGATAGTTTAAATGCTTCCAAATCATTTTTCTTAAGTGGGTCAGCAAAAACGGTCAGTGGGAACTCGTGTCATGATTGAGAAGCATTGCAGAAATTCTTGAATCCTTGCTGAAGTCAGTCTAGGTCAGTGGGTCAGGTCAGACTGGAAGAAATAGTTGTTGACATCACCTCATCTGAAAACCTCCTTGCTGAAAGTCCAAGCGGAGCTCAACTCATCTTCCTTTCATCCGCAGACGGAAATGAAGGGCCAGGGCCTCCATGAATAGTTTTAACCTTGGGGTCTCAAGGAATGATCAGAGTTGGACTTAAGTCCAGCTAACAGGGTCTACACAGAATAAGGAGCCAGTTAAGCTGCTGACTGGGACACAGTCACTACTCAGGTTTGCAGAAGCACCCAGCCTGAGGCACAACCGTGGTCAGTAAAGAAGGATGCGGGAGGGATTCCCCACTGGAAGCACCAAGATGCCCGCTAGGGTTCTCTTGGGAGCCTTTGTGACATCACACCCACAAGTCCCTAGGAGTCAGGATCAAATCCCGCCATGCCTTTCTCAGAATGGTCAACGGCATTGAGGATTGCTGAAGAAAAGACAACATTCCCACTACAGCTGTGCAAAACATGTGGATGCTTCACCATGGTTTCTGAATGTGGAAGAACAGAAGGGCATCTCTCCTGCCCTCCTCCCTCCGTTACTGGGGAGCTCAGCTCTGAAGTTTCTGTGTAGCCTCAAAACATATTCCCACCATCCAACAAGTCCAACAGCAAAGCAACTTTCTCCATGGGGAAGAGTGGCTCCCTTGATGAAAGGAAGCAAATGGACCTTACCCAAATCCCTTCCTGTTCGGCTGTCAATCTACAAGCATTCCGTTGGCTTCACTTCACCGGCTACTTCATTCATCTCCCATCTGTATCTCCTACCCCAAAGCACCATCTTTTTCTATTTCAGTATTGTCGATGCCTAGCCGGGACCCTGAGTAAGTGTTAAGGCAAATGGAAGAAGCAAGTGCCAGAAAACCATATATAATTTACTTATGGAAAGGAGCCAAACACATTAGCCATGATACATAACTGTCTGTCCATTTCCCAACCAGTTACTGTTGGCAGAATATTACTAAAGAGAGGTAAAAATCATGTTGAAGGATGTCCCAGTTGCGAAACCCTGCCTCTCCATGCTAACATCTGAACACCCAGAATAGGCCTTCCAGAGGGGATGGTCTCATCAAAGCTTGTTCTGCAGGGCGGGCCTCCAGCTGACTGATCCACAGTCTTAATTTAGGTTCAGAATAAGTGTTCCAAAAGAAAGGCTCGGGAAATTGATACTACATCCGTCTTTATAGGCTATCTTACCCAGCCAGACTCTAAAATGTATATGCTTTACCATAAAATTATTTTATGACTTCCTACCTAAATTTTACCAGCTTGTCCATGCCATAAAAGAAAAGCCTTTTCTAACTTCCTTGCCAGTAATCACCATAAGGGATTTTTTCTTTCACTGCAGTGAAGGCTGAGACTAACCTTTCATTCAGTCAGCAGTACCACTTACGAATGCAAGTGTGGATGCCTTCCTGGAAAGTTCCATAGGCTTCCACAGCCTTAACATCTATAAATGATTGGACTAAATTTATTGGATATGAAACAGACTAGACTGCTATTTATTCCTCGTTGAGACATTTAAAGCATTTGAAATATTCATTTAAAGCTCAGCCTTACTTGGTAGAACTGGGTAGGGGAGCTGTTAAGGAATTTTTCTTAATTTGTTGATTGAGAAATCATAGGAAAACTGGTCGGCTCTCAGACAGGGAATAAAGAGGTTTAGGATGCCAGATTATCATGGTTTATAGCTACTGGAGACGTCAGAGTTATCCAGTAAGCATTACTGATTGACTGATCACCCCCATCTGAACGGCATGGGGTCTATGTCAACATTCTGGCTGCACATGCAGCATACACATCTACTCTCACAAAGTTGAGAGAGAGAGAGAGAGAGAGAGAGAGAGAGAGAGAGAGATCCAAGAATAATCATTGGACTTTGCTGATTATTGCTTCAAACCTATTTTTTATAAGAAGCAAAGGCCCCTTTGCTTCTGGGCCTCAGCATGTTCTTTAAAAGCAAAACTTGAAAGTCAAGTTGCTTTTGAGACTCAAAAACAAACAAATGAGAAGTTCAGTAGGAACAGCCTTCTTTTCAAAGCTGGGAGACAGAGAAAGAACGAGAGCCTTGGCTGGGCAGTGGAAAAGATGAAGACGTAGGAACTGGGTCACTCAGCTGAAGCACTGTACAAAAAGTGGGGGCCAGTAAGGATGGGAACCAGGTGTTTTCTCTGACTCTGCTAATTACAAGTTGTGACATTTGGAGAAAAACTATTATTTCTCTAAGAATTCTTCTCCTTGAGAAAAAATAGGGATCATTGCACCCGCCCGTCAGCTATCAGAATCAGCACTCCCCTGACAGTTGCTATTTCTTCTCCTGACTTTCTCTCTAATTTTTTGGTTTAAATAGCAAATGTCCTATCACTTTACTCTCTCTTCCATACCAAGACAGAGGTTTTAGGAAGACAAAGTTGTGCTTGTTTTTCACTGTGGGACCCACAGGGTCTGGCACAGTGCTGAGAGAATTTGTAAGTGATCATACATTTTTGATAAGGAATGCTGTGAGTCAGGGGTGTAGCATAGTAAAGCTGAGCAGGTATATACAAGGTGCTGGGTCCCATCTCCATCACTGCAAGGAGGGAGAGAAGGGGGGGCTAGGGGAATGCTTCTTAGGTTATCGAACAGCTCAGATACAAGAATGGAAATGAAAAGGTTTTGCAAACGGCAGAGAGTAATAGCCACGATACACTGTTTAGGTCATTTATTGTCCAGTCTCCTGAAGCTCAGGGCTCTGTACAATGCCTTCCAAATATCACAGCCGTAGTGGGAAATCTAAAAAAGAAGAGCCCCCTTTGTAGCCGGCAGCTGTTCATCCTGGGTGACATATGAAGTGACATACCTGGAAAATTCAGTTTGAACTGAATTTCAATTCACTTTGGGGGGTGGTGGAGGAGATCAATCAGTGCACGTCTGGCAGTTTTTAGCACTAGTCAACACTCAAGCTAACCGACGACCTTTTACTTTCAAATGACTGTGTCGATGTCTTGAAGACACATGGTAAGTTTTTTTTTAAAGCATTGTCTACAAAATACTTTTGTTAGGAATGATATAAAAATATATAATCTATACTGAAAAATAACTAACCAGAAAAGCATAAAGCATGAAGATTCTTGGGCTAACATACCTAAGCTATACACATAAAACTCATACTTATCTTTTACATATGTCCCAGGCAGCAGGATTTGCTTCTGGCGTAGTGGGACTGACTGGGAAGGCTTTCTGTAGCCCAGCGTCTCTTCTGAGCAATGGTTTTAAGGCTTTCTGACTGATCAAGTTAAATGTCAACCCTCAGAGAGAAACCCAAACGCTTTGGGTGCATGGGGTACACAGACCCAAAAACATTGAGGTTACACTTCATCAACTGTTCTGAAATGATGTTTAGCCATTTTCTAGATGTTCCTCGTGTTTTTGTTTAATGCCAGCAAGTGTGTGGTGGCTTGACTGTGCTTTCTGACTTCATGATTATCTCCAGAGGCTCACTGTTGATACAGGGCTGATAAGGGCAGGCAGGCGGCTTTGTTTGTACATTACATCTTTACAGCTTCTGGTAAAGATTTCGTCCTTGGCAGAATGGATTTCCATGTACAAAGCTTAGGTGGGGAGTTGGATATCACAACAGATTCCTCTGAATTATTAACCATAATATGAATCACCCCATCAAAGGATCTGTAACTGGATATTGTTTTTGCTCTCTTGTGACCCCACTTAGGTTATAAGTTCGAGTGTAAGAGCTGAAGTTTTCCACACTCTGGAAATCTCTATGCAAAAGGGAATGACTGTCATCATAGACACTGCTTGCTGCTGACTTCTTAAGACATCTTTTTCAGTAGCCTCATCAAGAGTCAGACATAAGCATGTTTTCCAAGTTCTTAACCCCTTTCCAGGTTTCTGTATTTTAATACAAAGCATCTCTGAGTCGTGGACTAATTTGTTATCTGAATAACTGAAGAATTTTCCTAATTAAAACAAAAGCTTTAATATTTTGATGTATTATAAATCTTTTCATAGTTTTGTCTTTAGAGATGAATCCTCTTAGGTAAATACTCAGAATCAAAAAAGGAATTCATAATTCACTCGTTGGAGCAGAAAATTTATGAAATCAACAACCTTTCATTTTCTTGTTATAAAAAGCCTGCTCTGATTTCCTTGATGAATTTACCTATTATCTTACTCTCTGCCCAGAAGGAATTCTCAGTACCCGCTTTGACAGACAGCAGGACCAACAGGTAGAAACACAAACAACATCGGAAAATACCTCATCAACGTACTCAATGAAATATGCCTGAGCCAAGCGGAACTACATGTAATCTTTGGCTTTTAGCCTCAGTGGATTTGTTTGCAATGGCATTCTTTCACATGCAGAGAACATTAAACATTTTAATAGCAAGGCTATGTCGGTATGAAAAGGTATGCTTACCTCCTGTTTAGTTAGTTTGGGTCCATCTTTGCCCTCGGTATTCTCTGGAGACTAGAAAGAAAACATTTCAGTGAACTGTATTTAAATTTGTAATCATGCAAACAATGATTAAAACGTGCATGGTAATATGACACCTAGGACCATGGGAAAAGGCATTTATTAAGTATGTATTTTAAGTGTGTGTGTGTGTGTGTGCGTGTTTGTACTCAGCTCTGTGTGCACGTATAGAAGTCAGAGGTTGACAGTAGATGTCTTCCTCTACTGGCGGTCCACATTATTTTTTGAAACAGGGTCCCTCACTGAACTCAGTTTGGCCAGGGTGACCACCCAGCAAGCTCTGGAATTGCCTATCTCTGCCCCCAGAGCTGGGAATACAGATACGTGCAGCAGTCTCTGGCTATCATGGAGGTGCTGGTGATCCAATTTCAAGTCTTCATATTTTTACAACAAACACTACATCCACCTACCTAGCCCGCCCCCACCCCCGCCCCAAACTCTGGTCCTCTGGAAGAATAGGAAGTGCTTGTAACCATTGAGCCATCTCTCTCTACCCTGTACCCTACGGGGAACGGGAAAGAACTGCTATGCATCCTTCTATGCAATGTGCGTGCACCTGAAGCAATTTTCATCTGTCCTTGACGAGTGTGTGTGTGTGGGGGGTACATGGAATCCACCATCTTATTTACCTCCTTATTCAAGTTACTTTGCTGCTTTACAAAGTAGGACAGAGGATGAAAGTGCCATGAGGGGTTGGAGGGGATTTGAGGGGTGGAAATTAACCGGGGAGTTGACAGAGGACACTACAAAGGGAAAGAGGGAGGAAGTTAAGTCACACTAAGGATGTTTTTAAAAGCTACAGGGAAACATATTTCATGTGTACTTAAAAAACGCAAATATTATAAAAACATATGTATACATACACACACACACACTAAAGTGACATTACTTGAGGCAATAATACTTCAATCAAGAGCCACAGACAAAACAAAAGTCCCAGTTCCAGGCAGGAGAAACCTCCCTTTGAGTTATTAGGAGAGTCCGAGAGACTCCCAAAATAATATTGGCTATTGCCAGTGACTTTGGTTACATTCCAGAACAAGATCTTATTGCTGAAGATACAACATAGTTCAAGCACAGGACTGGAAGTCCTTCTGGAACTGACCTAGTAGTCTCCTCCCTGAGGGATGGCTCTTACAGAGTCTGATGGTGCTAAGCTGCCAAAGGGGACAAACAATTATCATCCTACCCAGCTATGACACCTAAGACCCACAACATGGCAATGGCCAGCACGGCAAGATATATGGAAAGGTGCAACAGTGCCATACGTACATATCTTGGCAGCAACCAACAGCTGCCTAAGTGGACTTAAGCCCTATGCAGCAGGAGGGAAACCATGCCATCTTCCTAGGTTAGCAAGGTTATGGACTGTGTGGGAGAACCTACTGACACTTTCATGCATTAGTATCACTAATAACTGTATTCTAAATAACTATCCTTTTACCCAGTTAAGTGTTGGTCTCAACCCTCATCAAAGCAGTGGATTTTGCAGCAGATGGAGGCCATCGTAAAAAGCCAGCACAATGACAACACTAGTCAACATGGATGAAAGACATCACACAAGGGCCTGCACACCCCTAGATGAAAAGCTACAGGCAATTAATGACTGCCAAGAGTCAGAGAATCAGCCTTCTCCAGGACTGAACTCCTTGGGAGGTTATTAAATACCTAAACACATTGCTCATATGAGCAACACAAACTAAACTTAGCAGGATATATCTATATATCCTCCCCCACATATATATGTATATATGTGTGTTGTGTGTATACACATATTATATATAGATATATGTTATATATGTGTCATATATATATAGTATAAATTTGAGAGTGAATTGGGAGGACACAGAAGTTGGAGGGGGAAGAAAGGGATAGAAACTATGTAAGTACAGTAGTTATATATGAAATTATCAAAGAAAATAATAATAATAAAAAAGAGAGGCAGGGTGCTCCACAAAGCCCCAGCCACCACAGAAGCCATTCTCATCCCGCATTTGCTTCACTTTGATATCTAGACTGTGCCTTGATATGTTTTGATAAACTTATCGGTTATTTTTCCATCATCAGTTCCGGCGTCTTTATTACAGTCCTACCCTGAGCATGACAGTCAGTTGCCCTGGTGCTTGCAGATTTTGATCCATTTCTTGAGGCAGCACCGCACACGCCTGTGACAGTTTGTACCTGGGCACCCACATCCGTGGCTCACAACTGCCTTTAATTTCAGTCCCAGAGGATCTCAAACCCTTTTCTGACTTCTGTGGGCACCTAGGTTCATCTTCACATGAATCTCAGAGAGACATACACACAGGGAGACATAAATAAAAATAATATAAATCTTACAAAAAGGCTCATTAGAAAATTGAACAAATGAATATATTTTAAGACTACATAAAACTAGAAGGTAAGAACTATGGCATGAATAGGTGGCCAAGAGGCTGGTGCACCCTTAGAAAATACACAAACAGGGTTAGTGCGATGGCTGAGTGTGTGAAGAACACTTGTCATTCAAGCCTGAACCTATAGTGAAAAGAGAACTTATCACCATGCACAAAACTCAAGCCCAAATGGATCAAAGACCTCAACATAAAGCCAATCACGCTGGACCTTAAAAAAGAGAAAGTGGGAAATACACTTGAACGCATTGGCACAGGAGACCACCTCCTAAATATAACCCCAGCAGCACAGACACTGAGAGAAACAATTAATAAATAGGACCTCTTGAAACTGAAAAGCTTCTGTAAAGCAAAGGTTATGGTCAACAAGACAAAATGGCAGCCCACAGAATGGGAAAAGATCTCACTAACCCCACATCAGACAGAGGACTGATCTCCAAAATATACAAAGAACTCAAGAAATTGGTCACCAAAAAGAACGAATAATCCAATTTTAAAAAAATGAAGTTCAGACCTAATCAGAAAACTCTCAACAGAGGAATTTAAAATGGCTAAAAGACACCAGAGGAAATGTTTAAGATCCTTAGTCATCAGAAAAATGAAATCAAAACAACTCTGAGATTCCATCTTATACCTGTAAGAATGGCCAAGATCAAAAACACTGATGACAACTTATGCTGGAGAGGTGTAGGGCAAAGGGAAAACTCCTGCATTGCTGGTGGGAATGCAGACTTGTACAGCCCCTTTGGATGTTAGTGTGGCGATTTCTCAGAAAATTAGGTAACAACCTTCCTCAAGACCCAGTAATACCACTTTTGGGTATATATCCAAAAGATGCTCAATTGTGCCACAAGGGCATGTGCTCAACTATGTTCATAGCAGCTTTGTTTGTCATAGATAGAACCTGGAAACAACCTAAACGCCCCTTGACTGAAGAATGAATAAGGAAAATGCGATACATTTACACAACAGAATATTACACAGCAGGAAAAATAATGACATCTTGAAGTTTGCAGGCAAATAGATGGAGTTAGAAAACATCATTTTGAGTGAGGTGACCCAGACCCAGAAAGACAATTATCATATGTACTCACTCATAAGTGGTTTTTAAACATAAAGCAAAGAAAACCAGCCCATAAATCACAATCCCAGAGAAACTAGACAACAATGAGAACCCTAAGGGAGACATACATAGATCTAATCTACATGGGAAGTAGAAAAAGACAAGATCTCCTGAGTAAATTGGGAGCATGGAACCTTGGGGGAGGATTGAAGGGGAGGGAAGAGGCAGGGAGGGGAGCAGAGAAAAATGTAGAGCTCAATAAAAATCAATAAAAAAAGAAAAAGAAAAGAGAACCAAGTCCTGAAAGTCACCTTCTCATCTTCATGTAAGCACCATGGCAAACATATGTGCATGTGTACACAGAATAATAAATAAAAGAAAAAACCCCACAAAAATAGCAAACTCACATTCATCATTTGGGTTAGCACAATAAAACAGCTGTATTCATGCCTCATCTGATAACAAAAGTAAGCAGATCATAAAACTGCTGCTTAGTAGGGCTGGTAACACTGTAGATTAATAGAAGCTTCTTAAAGAACAACCTGGAAAAAGCTCAGAGAGATAACAAGGTGATGACCTAGTAATTCTTTGTAAAAAAAAAAAAGATTGTTGTATTTCTATTATACCCTAATATGGCATAGTTGGAAACAATATGCATGCTCAATAAATAATTAGGAGCTATTTAAACTACATCTAGGGAGATGACTTGGTGACTAAGAGCACTTACTGCTATTTCAAAGAACCCAAGTTCAGTTGCTAGCACCCATGTTTGGGTGGCTTGGAACCACCAGTAACTCCAGTTTCAGGGGATCCAGTGCCCTCTTCTGGCCTCCACAGGTACATGCACACATGTGCATAAATACTCAAAGCATATACATAAATAATAAAATAAATCTCAAAATCAAATTATTACTATTAATATAGTGAGATTAGAATAGGCATAATAAAATAAGAGAATAAATATCTACATAAATTAACGATACATTTATAAAAATTAGGTAATAAAATAATGAGTAAAATGTAAAGATTGCAAATAGTCTTTGGGGAAAACGAAACATTTCAAGGCAAAGGTCACAGGGAATACTCTCTGTCCCCTGTCTAGGTCACATGTGGTTTAGCATCTTCTAGCAGCTCCCTTGCCTACAATATTAGAGCCCTTTTTCCACACTTGTCTAATTGTTCTCTCCTCCAAACAGAACCCCTGTCCTGAAGGGAAACATAACATTCTCTTTTCTGCCCTCTACCCTTGTACCCATGCCAGATTCACAGCCCTTGTGTTGTATCTGTTAGCTGAGTTCTAGACACCAGCATCTCAGCAAGTCTGAGCGTATAACAGCTTCGACAGAAGACATTGCTTTCTCAACTCCCTAGGTTATACAAACTCAGTGCTTCCATCCATCCAGATTTTCACATGGTCAGGCAGTCAGTAGCTGTCAATCAGGGATGCCTCTACCTGTAACAGATAAATGACTAAGAAAGCAGTATGCTGGTATTATATAAATGTATGTATCATATAAATATATCCTGCTTAGTTTTTC